TCATACATGAACACTGGCACCGTGCCAGCTAAGTGGAAAGAAGCCGTAAATGTGCTGCGACGTAAATCAAGTTCCGTGTTCGGGTGTAGACATTGTCGTCGGTGAGAAAAAGTTCCACTGAGCACGCCTCAGTAAAGTAGCAAACGAGTCCTAATCAAATGATTTACAATGCCTTGAGAGCATTTATCATATGTGGAAAAAGGAGACTACTCTCGTCACTGCTAGAAAAGTGTACCAGAACATGAGCGAATTCTGGTGTTTGGTCAATGGTAAATATCAGATCCAATGAGTTATTCGTTCTAGCGGGAGTTGTAATATGCTGTGTCAATCCGTAAGAATGCAAAGAAGAAATCAGATTTGCGCACATAATAGGCACATAGATTGAGGTAAATCGCATGTTGAAATCTCCACCTATCATTTTGTACTCGGCTGGTTGATCTGCTAGGTAACAGAACAATTCTTGCAATGCGTTAGTTTCTTGGAATTGGAAGTTGTTATAACGCTGTATCCACAATCGACCGGTTGATTCACGCCAGCCGGTAAATCTGTGACCTTACGCCTACTCTGTTTGACGTCTTGACAAACCCGACAGGAAGGAAGACAGAAGAAGACTCAGCAGACCAGAGTTGTATTAGGACAAAGAACGCTCATATTTATATGTCGGTCTCACCAACCCTCCAAACATCACCAGGCGGACTTGGCTGCAAGCCCACACTCCACACTTGCTTGTCCGGTCCGTCTGTCCAGTTCACCGTCTTGTTCAGGCACTCCAGCCTTTGTCCGCCTACCCGGGGCATGACAACGCACGGGATGTCTGACGCGTGATTTTATCAGCTTCCGGTAAGGCCTTGGCTTGCTGTCTGATGCGCGATTTCATCAGCTTACGGCTGGGCCGTGGTAACATGCTCGCAGGGTCTTTCCCAAGTACGATTTGTAGCAAAAACGCGCGCATTGACAATCATCTTACTCGCCCAGCTATCAGAAGTAGAGTGCACGTACACGTACTCAAGGAGTAAAAGGCTATTATCCAGTTGCACATCTACAAAAGCAGAGCCCTGAAGGCATTTGTGTGAGGAAACAATTGTAGAAGCACGCAATGTTTCGTGTACATAGATGGCGCAATCACCACCTAGTCCAGACTTATGACACCCAATAAATGCATTGTATTCCAATATGTGATAGTCGAACTTAGGAGTGTGTTCCATTAGTCACGTCAAAGTCACGAGTAGGATTTATGTATCAAAGAAGGAATAAGGGAGCTTAGAAAATGGTTTCTGTTTTTAAAAGGAGCGCGTGTTGAGCAGCAAAACCAGCCTGAATTGAGGATGATGAAATAAGTTCATTATTCCTTGGAATAGTGCGAGACAAGCTTCTGATGGAAATGCATTAAATTCGTTAGTGGACAGGAGCGTTAAGATCGGGATTATTTGGAGCACTGAGGTCGGGATCTCTGGTGGGGAGTGGAGTGAGTACAGACATGTTGCCGTCGGATCTAGCACTAGTAAATTCGAGGGTAGAGAGAATTTGTCACTTGGGAGCACTGAAAGACTTGGGGATAAGGAAGTTGTTAGGATATTGAATACAGATTGCGACCAGAGTGGTGTTGAGCTAGCCGTGTCATCTGAAAATATTGCATAAACGGTGGTACCATATAGTTGGCGCCATGTGAAGTGTCATAGCTGGGAATGACTGCGGAACAATCCCCACTTCCTCTAAAAAGGATGAGAGAAGAATGCTTGGTTAACAGTAGCTGCGCAGGTGTGGGTGGCGTATGATGGGGCGTTATTAAACTTGTTGCTGCTATTATATCTGTTTCGATTATTTTGCTGTAAACTTATGGACGAAAGAGAGGTATTTCTCATGTTATTCATCGGCTTGGTGTAACCACGAAGAGGGTCTAGTTTATGATGCATTGATTGCGGAGAGTTTTGGCAGGCACCGGTCGTTGCAATGAGCGACTTGCCGACGGGTGACAGCAGCGAGTCTCTACTAAACGGTTGTCCACCTGTGGATGTGCGTTAGTTGTTGCTTCCGATGGTGGATGTTGTAATCGGGCTCTTGCAGCCACCCCTTCTTCCTGCATGTGGCATCTGCGCAGTGTGTCGGTCCAACGTTGCCAATCATCGATTAAACTGTTCCTATTGGTTAGATCCAGCAGAGTCAGTGTGTGTGTC